CGATCCGGTGCGTGTTTCCCTGGCGCCCGCCCTGCGCGGGGTGTCCTGGCGGCGCTTGAAGGAAGCAACACAGGTTCCCCAGCAGGAGGCGCTGGGGACTCAGTTCCATTTGAGCTCGTATCCCAGAGCCCATGGAATCAACTCGCTGGGTGCATTTGGCCCAAGGGCCTCAGCAGCTATTAGAGAGCATACCCGCCAGCAGCTAAGAATACTCCAGCCGCCACCGTGAAACATGGCCCGCTCGCCCACGTGGCTCAGTGGTTGAGCCTCGACCTATGAACCATGAGGTCACCGGTTTGATTCCTGGTCAGGGCACATGCCCAGGTTGCGGGCTTGATCCCCAGTAGGGGGCGTGCAGGAGGCAGCTGATCAGTGATTCTCTCTCATCATTGATGTTTCTCTCTCCCTCTCCCTTCCTCTCTCTGAAATCAATAAAAATATATTTTAAAAAAATATTGCCGGCTCCTTGACAATCCCTTCGCCGGCATTCCTTTGTGCAGCTGGTCACGGGGACCCTGTTCCAGAGGGTGGAGGGGACCCCGTTACTGACAGGTGCTAACAGGGGGTGCTGGCCCCTGCACGCACACTTTCAGGATATCAGCGCCCACACATCTTCATTAGCAGCCTAAAGAGTCACCCTGGATTTTAAACTGTTTATCTCGGAGGACTAGACTGGCGCACTCAGTGCAGAGGGGTGGGGGAGGGGAGACAGAAGGCCCGAAGGAACATAAGGAGGAAGTTCACCAGAATAATGCGCCGATTCAGTAAAAGGTGGCCATGAGCGGAGCTGACATGCATGCAGACTGTTCCTGGCTTCCTTCTGCACACAGCACCCCATCCGCCCTCTGCCCATGCTGTGAGGCAGGTATTGTCATCATTAGCATTTTATAGACAACTAGAGGCCTGGTGCACGAATTTTGTGCGGGGGGAGGGGGTGTCTCTCAGCCCGGCCTGTGCCCTCTTGCAATCCTGGACCCCTCAGGTAGGGTCCCTAGGCCTGGTCAGCGATCAGGGCCTATCAGAGCTTTCCTTCCCCCAGCTGCCGGCAGCTGGCTCCACCCCCACCGCTGCCACTGCTTGCTATCTGTGCGGCACTGTCCCGCCCCCCCTTCCCCGCCACCGGACACCTCCTTCTGTGGGCGACAGGCGTGGGGTGTGATCACTTGGCTGGCCTGGGCCTCCCTCTGGGGGGCGATCGATTGTGGGGTTCCAAGATCGATCGCCCAGCAGAGGGAGGCCCTGCCCACCCGGCCTGGGCCTCCCTCTGCGGGGTGATCATGGGGCGATGGTGGCCTTCACGGCCTGGGCCTCCCTCTGCGGGGTGATCATGGGGCGATCCCCCCCCTAACCAATTGCATTGCACCCGCCTTGGCTGGCCTGGCGCCAGTGCGTGTCATAGAGTGTTCGGTCGTTCGGCCGATTTGCATATTACGCTTTTATTATTGCAGGTGAGACTGAGACCCACTGACCACAGGCTTTCCTTGATCCGGCCCCTGCCTCGCTCTGCCCAACCATCTCCTACTTGAACCAGCAACTTGTCGAGGCGGCTGGTCCTCTCTGCCTAGAAAGAAGGTCTCGGGTGGAGTCTGGGAGGGTCTGGGCCTGAGGGAAGACTTTGAGTCTTACGTAGAGGTCATGCTGTAATTTCAACTGACAAGCTTCTGGGTAACCAGCAACCCTCTTGTACCGTCCGCTGACTTGGGTCGTGGTCAAAATAAACTACCAGTGATGTTTGTGGATCCCCTCGCCTCACCCTCACTGCCTTAGAGGGGAGGGTGTGCTGGTCGAGTTTTCCTGAAGCTGAGAACGGACGGAGAAGAAGGCCCAGATACAGACTGACCTCGGTTACGACAGTGCCCACCCCGCCGTGGGAGGAAAGAAGTGGGCGAAGTGGGCTGAGGTGTTGAGAGCGACACAAACGTGCGAACGAGAAAGAACATTAGACGGCACTGAAGACTCAGCTTCAAAACCAAGACTCGAAATGGAGCTGTTGCTACCCCAGCTGCCAAGAAATTACTTCGATGACCAGGTTTTGGTGGCATGGGACCAAGTTTAGAGCGGGGGGTGCAAGTTCTCACCTTCTACCCTGGCCATTCCTACAAAAGTGGGGAGGACGGGGTGCAAGGCCGCTCCAAGGACAGCAGCACAAGGGACAGCGGGCCTTGAGCACAGGGGCGAGGGGCAGGGGTGCCACCAGGCAGGGAGAAGATCGCTCACCGGCCACCTGGCCTGTGCTCCCGGGCTCCCCACCTCGCCTTCCATGCCGCATGCAGACAGCGTGCTCCAAGCGGTCAGTTGCATCAAACCTACAGCTTCTCATGCGCCCTTGCTGTCCATCCCTCACTAGGCAAGGGGATGGCGCAGGCAGGAGCAGGTCAGACGCAATTCGACAATCGGTCCCAGGGATCAGGTTAAGTAATCACACGCTAAGCAGAAGGCGGCATAAATACCAACACTCACCCGCACCCGGGGCCATCAGCATGCCGATGAGGAGAAGCGCGGCCATCGTGGAGCCCAGGACGGACCGAGGCGGGACAGGAGCAGCCTCCTGGGAGAGAAGCCGGCGGGGGGTGACGAGTCCGCTTCCCGAAACCCCCGAAATAAGAAGCCACAGGGGCCCTTGTCCCACAGGCAGTGAGGGCCTAGGACAGTGGTCGGCAAACTCGTTAGTCAGCAGAGCCAAATATCAACAGTACAGCGATTGAAATTTCTTTTGGGAGCCAAAATTTTTAAACTTAAACTATATAGGTAGGTACATTGTTATTAACTTCATTAGGGTGCTCCTAAGGCTTTGGAAGAGCCACACTCAAGGGGCCAAAACGCCGCATGTGGCTCGGGAGCCGCAGTTTGCCAACCACGGGCCTAGGAGAAAGCCTGAAAGGCTTCTGGTCCCGGCTTCGCCCCTAACTAACACTATGCCACCAAAGAGACTCAGTCTACCCATCTGTAAAATGGAAACTTAACAGGGTGCTCCTTGAAGAAACATCTCGTTCATTCCACGGTCTCTCGTTGTGTGTCAGGGATCCTGGGCCGCAAGGTGAGGATAACACGCCGCACCTGTGCCGTGTTTACCGGCCCCTGGCAGGGAGGCAGCTGAGCAGGCACTCCGCTTTGACTGGGGCCAGTTGAGCTGTACTTGACCCGCAGGTGACGACGCCAGCATCCCGAAACGCGCAGAAATCTGGCCGTGGAGTGACGGCGCTGCCTGCTAGCCAGTTATGCTCCCTCTTGCCGCCTCCTTGCCTTGGCTTCTGAGCGATTTGAACACTCTGTTGCTGTCCCAGGGGTCAGAGAGCTGTGCCTCGGGCTGCCATGGGGAAGGGCCAAGGTGGACAGGGTCCAGGAACCCACCATGTCAGTCGCCGCTGCCCTGTGCTCAGATCAGCAGTTAACCCTGGTGGGTGCTGCCTGCACTCAAGCAGGTCAGCCATGCGTTTCCCCGGGAAGGAAAAAACCTTACAGACCAGAGGGGTTTTAAATGATTTTAACTCCTGGGGGTGTTACTCCTTAAAGAATGTCAGACGGAGGATGGTTGAGCACGGCTATTCTGCGTTAGAGCGTGTTTTTAGGACCAAGTGTGATAAGACAATGTGACCATGTGATCATGTGACCCCGTGGCGCATCGGGCTGCTGGGAACGGCCATCCAAGTCGCACACTGGGCCAGAGTGAGGCCCTGAGCCAGCAAGGAGGGGCTGAAATGCAGCCTGTGCTCAACTCTCAGCTCGCCCCCTGCAAGGCTGCACCAACGGCGGGGTGGGGGGGTCGAGGGGGCACTGCCTCCTATTTGTCCTCCCAGACAAGGAGGCTGCCCCTCTCCCCAAGGTCCTGCATAGGCGCCCAGGGCTGTGGGGGCCACTCTACCTGGAGGGCGGGGCTTGGTACTGAGGAAGGCGTTTCAGAGGAGGAGGCATTTGTAGGCTGTGGGATCGCTGCTCCGAGCCTCCCCGGGACCTAGCACAGCCTGGTGGCTGTAAAGTAAATGTGGGCTGAACGAACACAAAGGGTAAGGTGCGCCCGGCCGGCGTGGCTCAGTGGTTGAGCGTTGAGCTATGGACCAGGAGGTCGTGGTTCAATTCCCGGTCATTTGTGACACCTGCTGGGCAGGCCCGCGGCACAACCCCCGGCTGGGCTAAGGAAAGGGAAACCCGGGCGGCCCCAGCAGTGGTGAGGGAGCCTGGATTGGACGGGCACACTAGGATCTGGGGGGGACAGGGCCAGGGCTGCCCCCTCCTGGGCACCCAGCACCCCCTGATGGCCAGGTCAGGGCCCTGGGTGGGGCTGTGTCCACCTGGAGGAAAGATGCCTTTTCCTCGTTTGCACCGGAAGCCGCTGGGCTGCCGTGGCCCTGGGGGAGGAGCAGGTGGGCAGTGCTGTCCTGTGGGACTGAGGGGCCCAGGCCTCACCTTGGTCTGCACACCCCGAGCCCCGCAGTATGGGGAGGCCCTAGAGCGGGGCCTGTCCGAGGGGCACACCCGGGTGGGGCTCAGGCTCTGCCCTCACCGCGCCCTGAGCCAGGCGTGGAAGCTGCTGCAGCTCGTTCTGTGGCGGTAAATGCCCACGTGGCGGTGCCTCATGGGGCGTCGGGAGGTTAAAGGGCTAAGCCTGGTACATGTGGTGCGTGCCTGGTGCAGGGGGAGCTGGGGAAGGCCGGCCATGATGCAGGATCCATTCCCTGCGGGGGGGGGGGGGGGGGGGGGAGTGATTGCAGGGTCCTCCTGGATGGGTGCCCCAGTGAATTCACCTGGCGGTGTTTCCCTGGCATTGCTGCTGCTCGGACAAGGGCTTGGGGCGCCCTTGGTTGCTGGCTACACCCGGGAGCAGTCCACCACCACCCTGCCCCCGTCTTTCTCTATCCATTCCTCCCCTTCCCTCCCTCTCTCCTTCCCTCTCCCCCGACTCCCTTCCTTTTCTTCTTTCACCCAGTTCTGCCTTT